TAGTCGTTCTTCCATCGGCAGGCAAAATGTTCTCAACTGTAGCGCAATGCACATGCTCACCTCAAGTTTAAATGCATTTTTATTGTTTTTCGTATTTTATAGCTTTTTTCTATGATGATTACACTTTTGTTGTAATTGACTTTACCAAGATTCGGCAGCCTGCACACATGGTGTTGACCGCCATCCCTTTCAGATTTGCGATTCTTCAGTGAGTTGTGCCACGTCTGCCACGTGCCTGTGCGCGCATGCAGGCTGTTTTTTGCTGCCAGTTACATAAAAAATAAAATAAAAACAAACAAAAACACAACAAAAAAATTAGAACTCGATTATCTCATTATCTGGACAGCAACGATWTATGATCTCAGTTGCGCGACGACGAGCTGGACATTTTGATTTCTCGAATTTTGCCGCTATTAGATTCTTCAAACATGGCATTTTAAWCATTACACAATTATCTCTAAATATGCAGTTTTACTAAACATTCATATACAAAAATAGATTACAAACGAATGCAGCTTTTTTAAAATATTGGAGGAAGACGTATAACAAATTTCTTTACAATACGCGACTGTTCWTTYTCTGTACTAGGCAGATCAGGAAGATTTTCTATYRAGTTGTTTTTCTCAACGAGTTCAAGAGCTTTTTCAATGCACTGAATTTCTTCTTTTGGGTTTAATCTCATTCCACGTACAGGAGAAGGTTGTCTGAATTCTATCGTATTGTCTTCTGCATCAAATATAGTCCTTAACTTATTTACATGTAAATGAGCACTTTCGTGAGATTTTGAACACGTTGTTTCAACTGTTTTTTCTCGAAACACTTGGCAAGCTTCACTGGATAGGATTGTTCGTGGGGTTAAAATATCGTAACTTTCTACTTTAGGAATCTGAAATACTCTTTTCGAGGAGTTCTTAGGGCTTTTTCTTRAACCGTTTTCAGGCGAGGAAAGTTCTCTGGTTAACGGTGAATTTCGATTTTGATGTCCTTTTTTCCGCGGATCTATTTCATTCTGTAGATTCTCAATCAATTCAGCTTGCGATTCATGATTTTCCATGGATTTTAAAATTCTCAATCGTCTTACTCTTTTTATAGTCGCYTTCTCGATTATTTTAACGCGCATTTTATGTCCTTCTAAAGCCACTAATGTACCCGGTAATTCTGCTGCTGTCCTAGACTGTTCCGTGGTTTCAAAATCTTCTGGAATGGATTCACTGCTGGAAATAGAATTATCTTTAGAACCCTCTGACGAGTAATGGCGACCATAGCTAACAACTTGTGATGGTATTTTGCTTGAAGTTTTTGTAACTGTGTCTTGAGCTTTTTCGAAACACTTTCGTCCTTGGATATTWACTTTTGGACTGGTATTCTGTTTGATTTTGGATCTTCCTCGGCTTGAGTTTTTMACTAAACCCGGCAAGCAGTAACCAGGACTGCTTGGATTTAATACTGATATCATCGGAGCGATGTCTTTACTTTCCACTTTTGTTTTCGAGCTTTATATCCAAGCGTGTTCACAAAAACGTGCCTTTACGAAGTTTTCGAGTAATTAATTTCAAGTTCAAGAGAACACTGAGCAACTCAACTTTAYAAGTTAATTTACCTCGTCATAATTCAGCTTGTTAGCAGCGTACTCCGGAATAAGAAATTTACATTTGAATAATCTCGCTAATTACCCCTATTGTTTCTGCAAGTGCACTTAAACACTTAAAWACAAAGCTATTTTCTTTAGCCYTTCAATGGAGTATGCAAAGAGTCATTGTCACAAAGACACGAAGCTTTGAGAAGAACAAAAAGTGCAAATGTTTTTATGTGTTTGAGAACAAATTGGCAGGCCAAATGACGCACTTGTTTGATAATAAAATCTCTTTAGGGTGTTTTTAAAGTAATTCGTGATTGTCAAGGTAATATAATAGACGTTTTGTTGCAAAACGCTCTCAAGATAGATTCATTTTGTTTTCATAAGCAACGCTTGAAAAATGAACTTATCAAAAAGTTAAACGAAGAAGTTCAGATATTGAATTGATATTCAAATCAGAGTTATACAAACCTACGTATACAGGACCGGTATTCAAATACGAAGATGTTAAAATAAAGGTGCTATCTGTAATTTCTAAAGCAACTAATACAATATTCTATTGAAAACTCAACACAGAAATCATTGCATCGTACTTGATAGATTTGTCGTGCAACATTTTCTACCCACAAAACATTTCAAGCTCTTCATTCCTTGATATCAAATGCAATCGTATAGCTGTTGGATGCAATTTTGAACTTGATATATGCCACRATGTGCGATAGTCTGATGGTCGTGGCACATTAATTTATTGATATGAAAATATTTCATATCATATATGAAAATATTTCATATGAAAATATTCCATATGAAATTCCAAAGCAAGGAATGCTGTAATGTGATTTGACTAACTGTAGTGAAAATAAATTAATCTTGTTTCAAAGTACAACTTCTTTTTCATTTCTTTTGAAGATATGTTTTTTYTCGCAATATTTTGAGAGGTCGTTTTGATAAAAATACAGTCTGAGATGAACAGAAGCTGTTCASCCATTTCTTCATTGTTTTTATGGTCAAACTTGCGCCAACTTTCTCTACTAGAATCYAGTTTTTACGAGCCCTTTGTGTGTGTTGAATGGAGAAAAAACTGTATTTTATCAGAAGTTGCCAGTGGGGGTGCCATCAAGGCTTGAGCTGACTTGAGTTGCAGTTTGCAGTCAATGTTGAAGTCTCTTTTAGCTAACACTGCCCTCTGTAGAACCACTTCTTACCATGTAGATATTTCTTGCAAGATGTGTCAACTGTCATGCGTCAATGAAAGTTTTGACTCTGCAATCTCATCTAGTGCTCTCTGAATGAGTTCTAACAACTTTTCTGAAAAGACATATTTAGTTTTTTCCGTTGTTAGTTAGATATTACACTAAGCGATAAATTATACATCTCACTCAACTTACCTCCCTTTCTGACAACATCTTCAAGTTTTCTACCTGCTTCTTGGTTTTCAGCTTCCAATTTTTGCAAGCTTGCTGCCTGTGAAACATTTCATTTTGGTTTGTTACAAAAATCATGGCATCAAGAAGCCGCTTTCGGGAAGCCACTAAAAACTGTTCAGCAATGAAGTGAAGTCAAATGAAAAATGCTGCTTTTTCAAATRTCAAGCAGCCAAGTAGCTTCAAATATTTCACATCAAACAATAGATCAAAATGATAAAATGTTAAACACCATCAAACAAGGTATCCTGATTCCAGAGGCTTTCTTTCTATTTCTACGCATTTTTATCTTATATTTTTCAAGRTTTTGTTGCTTCTAGAAAAAGAAGTGAAAATGTCTGGAACCATTATACAAACAAGGGTACCAAACATGAAAATGTTAGGCTATTCAACAATTCTTCAATGGTGTGAGGTGAACCAGCACAGGTTCTTATTTCCAAATCCACTGTAGTGTGGAATGGCCCTGAATTTACATATGCCTGCTCCACCCACTTTTGTTGTTAAAATTTCAGGAAATTAAAAAAAATTAATTAATTAATATAAATATTTGTGCACATTCCACACTACTGTGGATTCGGTAGTATCTGTAACCTTCCAMGAAAGATCTTGGATCTTATCTCTGAAGATTTCAAAGCATCTAATTTACTTTACCTGCAATTCAGGAGAGCAATCTTCACTTGGTAATGAGTCTATTAGATAATCAATGTCTTTTGCTGTTCTTGCAATAAGGGTTGCAAATAAAGCATCATGTCCTAGAAGCAATGCAGGTATYTAATTGCTTGTGATTTAGTTTAGAAAATGAATTTATGAGCAGTCCTTACCTTCTGGTTGGGCATTTTTGTCATTACCACTTGTCTCTGAAATTGCAAATAAAAATTCAGGAATCATTATGCATAGTTTAACACTAATCCTAACTAATCCTCCTCCTTGGTGAAGTACATTTACATGCGGAAAYAAAAGCTCTACTGAAAGAGAATGTGATAAAATGCCAGAAACTAGCAGTAAACTATGGCATCGCTATTTCTAAAGAAACAGTTTTGTACAAGATAAATTAAACACCATAAAAAAAGGAGGCGAAACAACTTACTGACATCAGTAAGTTGTCTCACCTTCTTTTTTATAATGTTAAAATTATTTTTTTACACATTTCACAGTTATATATTATAATTTAACTATGAAAACTGATACAGAATGTGTCCGTCTCTAAAGCCCTCTTWTAAAAACAAAGTCCACCTCCCCATGGAGGGCCAGGGGTTTGAAAGAAGGATCTATCATTAAAAGCTCTTTCATTGTTCCMTTTTATACAATGGTGTTCCTCCTTTCAGTATCAAACTGCTGAGAGATGCTAAAAAGCATACTCAAAGAAATTTCCAGTCAGTTTCTTCGGTAGACTTTTTATTATTGGCAGTGATCGGGTTGCCTGTGGTAGATTTTAAATGAATACAGCAAGAGGATTGTTTTGGAAAAGTCTATACATCAACTTTATCCTTGATTAGCAACAAGAAATAGAAAATTTAAAATTTTAAAATTTATTTTTAGTTCGTTTGGCACTTTGTTGAAGTATCCCAATGCTGTTGCAGAACTGATCAGCAAGCTGAAATAACATGATTTTTACTTTACAACTAACAGTATAACTGAAGAGACATCTAATATAAATATGACTGCATTAAATACCATTACAAAGTTCTCAAATTGAGTAAATTGTACCTGATTTAAAGCATCTTGAATCTGTGTTATTCTGTCCGCCATATTGGAAATTTCTTTTATTTCCGGTGAGCCCCTGATCCACGTGGTTGCGCCCCCACAGCATGACTATATAAAGACCACGTGSCCCTTCCTCGTTCTCTTGCTTTTTACAAGCCAAAGGTTTTGTAAATTGTTCAAACGTACCAACTATTTTTAAAGCGAGCACTACGTTTCGTGTCAATTAACGACTTAAAAAGTGAGTAARATGGTKTATTGATATTTCATCTGTCGTTCTGACCACAGAACAACGATTATTTTACGCATTAATCAGTATATTTGTGACTTTCTTGACAAGCGCTATTTGAAAGCCATCGAAACTTTGTAGTATTAAAATCCCTACGTAAGAGTTCAGCAGTAAAATCTKRATTYCTTTTCTGTTGAYCTTTTAATCTTAGTGTTGGAAAATACCAATAAGAGTTTGTATCATCTTATTTGTGCTGAGTTATAGAAACAACTGCACTATTCGTACCACCTTAAATTAGTGGGCCTTCTTTGACGSCATTTTCTTTAAACACAGGAAGCCCAGTCTGAAGGAAATGTACGGAAAAATTCCATTTAAAATGCAGACCACCTTGCCATTACTTATCAGGAACATTTTTACTTGATTCCTCCTTGTGGCATAGATTATTTTTAAAAGAAACTGAATTTGCAAGTAAATAAATAAATGAAAATAATATTGACAACAAGTCCTGATTGCACTTTGTAATTTAATGTTTACAGATGCGTTACGTGGCCGCTTATTTGCTTGCCGTTCTCGGTGGTAACAAGAACCCCTCTGCATCAGACATTAAAGATATTCTCGGGAGTGTGGCAATTGACGTTGAYGACGAAMGACTKGACAGAGTCATCTCTGAATTGTCAGGCAAAGATGTCAACGAGGTAAKCTTTTCATTATGATTTTATCACTATAAAAAGTGTTCTATTCTTGTTTTATAAATGCTGTTCTAGTGAGTGGCTATTTCAGTGAGTGAGTGGCAATTTAACACTAGATGTTGTCATTTGCCAACTTCATCAGGAGATACTGTGTTAAAAACAACTTTGTGAGAGTAATACATTCAATGGACTGTATGGACATATAAAAATATAGAYACTTAGGTCCAACAAAAACTACTTCAGGGGCCGGTTGTTCAAAGCCTGATTAGTGCTAATCCTGGGTGAACTTTTAGAAAACCTATGGAGTTAGGGTTAACTCGCTAATCGGCCTTTGAACAACCTGGTCCAGGAAATTTACAATGTTRTTATCAATTACAATCATTACAAAAATACCTTGGATCAATAAATATATTGTCTTTTTCCCAATTGTACCCCTTAACCACCTTTCATCAGTATTGCTGGTTATTGTGGTTTTGTTGTATGGTAACATACAACATTGCATTTTGGTAGCTGGGGAAAGGGAAATTTGTTCTTTAATGTTCATTTTGATTCATCAGGTCATCGAAGCAGGAAAAGAAAAGCTTGCAACCATTCCCACTGGTGGTGGAGCTGTAGCAGCTTCTGGAGGCAGCGGAGGAGGAGCTGCAGCTGCAGAGGAGACCAAGGAAGAGAAGAAAGAGGAGAAGAAAGAAGACTCCGAGTCATCAGATGAAGACATGGGCTTTGGACTGTTTGACTAACTCTTCTAATTCTGCAATAAAGTGTTCTTGTACACAATTAATTTTGTTGATGTCATTCTTTTATTTATTTTTGTCTTGATTCATGACTGCTTACATTATATTTTACAACAATTTGAATGTAACAACAACTGAAATTATTTACGTACTGACAGGGGTGGATTCTGGGAAGTGTACATCTGATTTCGAATGAGTCGGGCAGTTTTCAACGGCAAAGATGCACTAGAATTTGCACAAAAAATCTTGTTATAGAGTGATCGCACTTAAAGCATGCAACTGTATAGTCTCGCAGCCGTTCTTAGTGGTGGGATCCAGTGGGGTGGGGGACAGGGAGCCCGCCACTAAGAACGGCTGCGAGGAGACTAGCAACTATACAAAATTTAAGTATTAATTTGTACTAAAAGTGAAATATTTGTCAATAGAATAGAGAAAACTCGATAAAATTTTACCGAGGCAAGTACCTCGCTTGCCTGATGGTAGCTACGGCGCTGATTTGTACTAAAAGTGGACCTGAAGCAATACGTATTCTTGGTGTGCAACCACATGWCAAGGAATCCCCTGAGAAATAAAGAACAAAGCTATCGCCGCCATGTTGGATGAGTGAACAAGAGAAACTAATGAGGAATGCTTTGTGATTTTCATCCAACATGGCGGTGATGACGTAACTTGCACACCAAGAATTGAATGTTTCATCTGTTTCAGTCAATTTAATTTGCGTACCATAATTACTGAGTGATCGCACTTGAACCATGCAACTGTAAAAAATCTAAGTACAGTACTTACCCGCTTATAAGAATCCATTTGTTAAAATTTAGCCTAAACAGGTTCGAGTGATCGCACTTAAAGTGCACATGACACCATTAGAAATTCACTCTCATCCAAAAGAGAAAATACTGCTAAGTTCATCTGTGAAGAAAGAAATTGATTTCAAATTGTATTTTGTAAGTTATGGGCGATCAAAACTTAGAAAATGCAAATGAAGTGACGTCTACTAAGGAATGATTTAATATACAAAATCATGAAAGTGAACGTTATTCTTTTTGTTACATTGGAAAAAGCATTTTCAGCTCTCAATTATTACTATGATTGATGATTTGTGCTCTTCAACCAAGAACAGCATAGCGCAAACAATGTAAAAAGACTGGATCAATTCCTTAGTTGACGTCACTTCATTTGCATTTTCAATTTTCAAATGTCTATAACTCAGAAAATACAATTCAAAATCTATTTCTTTTTTCGCAGRAGTAGTTGGCAGCATGTAAACTTTCGGATAAAAGTGTTTTTCTAAAAGGTGTCATGTGCACTTTAAACTGTGCAACTGTTCGAAATCTAAGTAGTATTAATTTGTACTAAAAGTGGATCTGAAGCATGACGGTAGAGTGATCGCACTTCAACCGTGCAACTGTACAAAATCTAAGTAGTACTAATTTTTACTAAAAGTGGACCTGAAGCCGAGACGGTATTGAATGCTTCATTTATATCTTTTAAGTACCGCATGCACGATTTACTAAATACTAAAGATATTACTATGCTTTGATTTTATACTAAATCATAGCAATGTTTAGCCTGTACAGTACAATGAAATTGAGGTCTTGCGGAAGCAATAATGCGGCAAGATGGCGGACATTTGAAATGAAAAATTAACCTACCCTAAGACCATACTTGATTCAATGCATATGCGTAAAGTAGACCTGAGTTCTACCTCGTACACGTAACAAAATAAGTTTCTAGACAACTCCTGTTACACTGCAAACTTGTGACTGAACAGCGAAGCAAAAAAAGTTGCTGAGAAAATTTCACACTGTAACAGCACCTCAAGCTATAGGTAGCCTAGCAAGGGCATTAAACAAACACACCAGAAGACTCGAATCCATGTCGATCCGACAGTTTTTTATACATAGAGATGATTATGATTCCGAGGAACGAAAACATCGTTTTAGGAAAACCCATGTTTTGGATTAAGGCCTCAAGGGACTTTAACCTTTTTAACCTTTTTAAATAAATTCTTCGCTTGTAAATACCAACATTATTACATGATTATGACTTTGAATTAAAGTCGAAATATTGTATTTCGAACTCCAGACTCGTTTTCCTTAATCCAAAACTTGGGTTTTCCTAAAACGATGTTTTCCTTGCTCGGAATTATAATCATCTCTATACACCAGGAGACATTTGCTTGCTTTTGCATGTAAACCGGGTTGGGCGCTTATTTCATTTACATCGACAGGTGCATAAATAAAGTGCCGTTCGTGTACGAAACCTTTGAAGCTTGGTGCACTGTACTTAATAGAAATGTAATGTCGACAAGATTATTTCTGATTAAAGAGTTCCGTAGGTAAGTAGCCGTGTTTAGTGTTGTATGGAGCATTAAACATGACGGATGCGGTTGTATATGGAGTTTATCCAGTTTGGCACTTTTCTTTGCTGTTAGTTCGCCCGACAATGTTTTATGACCTTATTTTAATTAATGTTTATTCTATTTATTCTGTTGAAGGCATCGGGTGTACCTGGTCGCCTCGTTTGAACAATCTACAAAACTGTTTCCTAGCTTTTTTATCCGACACTATATAAATATACGGTAGAATGCCAAAAACCACGTAGCTTATTTGAGTACACATCGCATACAAGCATGCCACGCCCGGAACTCGAAACCTAAGAGCACTGAAAACGCCCCTGGATATGCCGAATGGAATCCACAATATGGAATACACCAGCACTGTTATGACTGAAATCTTATGTAAATTGATTTCCATCTTCGCCCTTGTCGAGCCCAAGACACTCGAGACATGTTCCATATGTTGGTGAATTTGTCTATGGACTTTGCTAAGTGTTAAAATGAACGTTGTGTTGCACGCCGTCAACCAGATTGTCGTTACGACGATAAGCATGTACCCTGTAACAACAGATTCGGACGAAAGGGGAAACATGAACGGAGGTGCTTGCATAGCAAAGCAAATTGCTCCTTGGTTGGCTATACCAATGGCAGACCCTATTAACGAAGCAAATGTCATGACAGATATGACCACCCAGATAATGACGACTGTCTTTTTGGCTTTGCTCACTGTAAATAGCTTATCCACTTGAATTTTATTGAACGCTTCATATCTGTCATAGCACATGGCAGCTAGAGTATGCACTCCTACACCAAGACAGTTAAACTGGGAAAAAATCTTGATAAAACAAATACAGTTTGCTTTTTGAAATGAAACAGCTCTTAAAACATTAGTGGAAATTTCAAGGTAGAAGCAAAGCAGTGATACGATACCAAACAAGTTGTTTGCAGATAGATTACACAGGAACACCAAGTAAGAGGTTGGGTTTAACTTGAGTTGTTTCCAGGAGAATACTATTATAAACACATTACCAATCAAACCACTGACGAAAGTGACGACTGATATGACGGTGAAAGGATAGGAGCCGAAGGAACATATGCGGTCGACAGTTGAAGAACCGGTGAAATCTTTATCCAACCACGACTGATTCATTTTAATCCTTCAAACCACTAACTGTTTGGTTGGCTGTTAAATCTTGTATTTTCCCCTCAGGCAATTATCTCTCTTGAGAGAATCAGCAAATCCACGAAATGAGAAAGATATATTAATAGTGTTTATCGAAGTCATGGACACTTGGAGAAAGCGGTGTAAATTTGTGCCAGGCAAAAGTTACATAACAGTATTTTCACGTGCTAAGCTTCCTAGTATTTTAACTGATTTCACCAAAGAAGTACTAATTGACAGTCAGCTGCTCAGTGGGTGGCAAGACCCAACAAGTAAACTAAATTAAAAAATTGAATCCTTTCATTAACAAAAAAGCAAGTCTTAATTGGAACGGTAATGATAAATTTAGCTGCATTTCAAAATGTAGAACTGATGTAAAACTTGAATATGATTAGTATTTTACGTTCAAAGTCACTTGTTCCGAGCCTGCCTCAATTTATCCACTGCGTCACAACCGCAATCGTGTTGAAATAGATTTTATCTTCGAGTGTTGAAAAGATCTTCTGATCACGAGTGAAAGTAGCGAGTGAGTGTATCTCAAGCGACTATGTAATATTCTGTTTATCATATAATTACGTATAAAAGCAAATAATGTTGTAAAATATAACGTTTTTCTTTCTTCCACTATATAGATAAACCTCGAATGTGTTATTTTCACTAGCGAAAATATCAACTTTACGAAATGGATAAATATAGGTATTTCATAGATAATTATAAGTGATAAATGCTAAAGATCAACAATGTCCAAATATTATAGAACATGAACTTTTTTCATTTAATTGTTTTGATTTTACAGCGTTAATCATATTTTTTACTGATCGTATACTACGGATACAAAAAGAAAATATTTTTTTTAATAAAAGCAGTTATGTTTGGATTTTCAATTTTAAGCTTCTTCGCTTTGATCATTTTTGTGCTCTTTGGGTAAGACTTCTATTGAGAATTTATTACGTTTTTTCTTTGCTTGAAGAGTATACTGAGGTATTAAGAAATGGCAGAAGTGAGAGAACGGCACGTGTGGCTTGTCATCGGCTACGAAATCCTCAGCGAACGGTAACTCGATTTTGGTCAGAAGACTGTTTCGTTAAAAAACAATATCTATAATCAAGAAAATACACAAAGTTATTTGTAAATAGAAGAAACGAAAGAACGCACGCAAAAATACTAAAAAGCTTTCACTTTCTTCCCTTTCTTAATCAAGTCATTAACACTTATTTTTGAAAGCAAAATAAAAGGAGATATTTAACAAGCGAAAATCAATATGGACGAATGATCATGGCGTTCGTTTAGCAATGTGACGTCATTTTCTAGGAAGAAAAGCATGATGGGAAATTTAGCTTCGGACGTTTTTGTTTTTAATGAATCCCAAAAATCTGCTGTTTTCTTTCTTACCAAAAATGTAAGTAGCAGTCCATTTTCGGCAAATAAAACACAAAAGAGGATTTTAAGGACTATTTCAACAACAACAACAAAAAAACGTACCAGACTACATTTCCCATCATCCTTTGCTCTCGACACACATTAAACTATTCGATGATTCGAGGTACTTCAAGTCCCTCCATATCACTTACAGAGACTGATTTCAATTTGTTCATATGCGACTGTGTCCCTCAACCTTGTCCATACTTATGAAATAGCCATAGCAAGTTGTGATTTGTAGCCGTGATTGTTTTTCGAGGTCGGGTTGGGTCGATCTCTGGGAGCAGTGTTTCTGTACATTACCTGTTTTGAAGATTGTTTTAGGACTTGAACACCAATGACAGCTGTTTCATCACGACATTGTCGACACTCGATAGGTATATAAACCACATCATCCTTATATAACGCATTGAACACTTCACCTTGAAAATAAATGAGCTATCAGGTGATATTAATTAGGAAACAAGGAAATGCCACCGAGAGAATGACATTTTTGCCTTACCGTGATGCAAAGAAACCTTATAAATATATCCCATCAACCATTTCGCAAATAATTTAAGATGAAGTCTGAGACTCAGTCTACCTTTGCAAGACCTCGATAGTTTTCTTATCGACTGCTGTGTAATCATGATAAAGATGATGCCAAGCATACCTTGTAAAGTTTTTAAGATTTGTACTGTAACAGGTATACTATCAATATCGATTGTCGTCCTCACTTCTCTGTTGATAACACTGGAGTCGCCTCTTTTTCGCTTTTTACCCAGGCGAGTTTTTGGACTGCAGAATTTGTCAAACAAGTCCGTCAATTCTTGGCAAGAAATCGTTTGTTGGGTTAGTTGGCCTAAAAAATAAGAACTCCAATAAACAAGTCGTAAGAAGAGAAGCTACCTTGACTTATAGGTTAAAGTTCATTCGGAAAAGATGAATGACCATCAGAGTTTATTCTAAACAATACCAAAAGGAACAAAGAGCGCTGGAATCTATAAGTAACAGTGAATGAAAGAAAAACTGAGTCATTACCTTCATAAACTATGCTATTACACTGCTTGCATCGTAGTGTCTCAACCGGAGGATTTCCACCACCATCACTTTCTGTACTGATCTGCATGATACTAAACCTTTCTCCTTTTGAAGTGCGTCTCGTCGCTCGTCTTAAGTTCTTTTGCATAGGTTGTGTTCCATCTGTACAGAGTTCTTGGTCTGTTGTATGTGTTGAGTGTTCTACGTACATCTTTTTAGGCGAAGTCTCGTCAGTCAATGTACAGTCGTTAGTTTTCTTGTTAACTGCCTTGGAAGTAGCTGATATATTAGAAACTGAATCGTCATTTACATCTTCATCTCTGCTCTCTGTCCTGCCATGATCATCATAAAGAGCCTGGTCAAGAGATTCCCCAGTTGGTGGTGTTGAAAACAGTTCTGGTGAGTTAAGAGACTCGACGCTGGCCATGTCAACATCACTGAYTAGTTGTGTTTCATTTGTATCTTCTGATGATTCCTGGTCGTTTTTCTTCGGTTTTTCTTCTTTGACATCGTTTATTTCTACAGTTGGCTGGCTTGATAGCACTTCCTTCTTGACCAATGTATTTTGGATGATTTCTGGTTTGGACGTTGAGCTTTGTACGGGTTGACACACCGGAGAAAATTCCGGACCACTATCCTTTTTGTCTGTCTGTCCATTGGGATAAACAAATGGCTTATTTTCTGATTTAATCTGCGGAATCACGTTGTACACTTGAGACGTCACAGTTTGCACAGTGTCGAAGTAATTCCCATTCATTCCAGAAGAAACATTATTCACAGCACCGGCCACGTGACATCCTATGTTTCCAGTAGTCACGTGATTGACCGTAGCCGCCGGTTTCTGTAAAGTGTTCAAGTTTGCATTGTTAGGAGTCGTAAACATAATAACTTTTTTCGTCGAATTAGGCAGTGAAGTTTGATCGTTTGTCTGGTTGTTCAACCTTACAGGCGTTAGGTACAAAACTTGCTGAGGACGAGGGCCTGTAGAAGGCGTGACCGGTCTCAGGGCGCGAGGATTCATGGGAGAAACGTTATTTGCATTATTGGGTATGAATATAAAACGTGGTGCAGATTGATTCAAGGCGGGGCCTGCTTGGGGAGGTAAGTAGACAATCGGTCTGCTAACCCCAGCCATGTTTATAATCGGTGCTTGGATGGTTTGTTGAGTACCGGGCGTAACGATGTTTTGCATTGTAACTTGATGAACTGCTTGCAGTGCGGTTTGAGGAGTGAGCTGAGGTGTTTGTCCAACTATTCCTCTAGGGGTTAATGGTGCCGTAATTGCGGTCGTTTGATGAGCGGTATCAACAGTTTTTGGTGTGGACATTGCGTTGTTGGCGAACTGATTTGGCAAAACTACAGGAGAACCGGATGAAGATTGATTTGTAGCTGCACAACCCCTTGTATTCATAGAGGCATCGCTCTTACATGTCAGCGGAGTGCAGACACCATTACTTGCCAAGGATGAATTCTCCTTGGTGGGAGTTGAGTCTCCCGTCGACGATGACCGTGGCGTAGTCTTGCTGCCAGGGCATGGGTCGAGTTGACGTGCATCAGCAAAATTCTTTAAGGAATCGACTGCTTGTTTAAAATCCCTGTAATGCTGAAGCCTTTGACGAACCCATTTGGAAATACCTGGAGAATTATCAATTAAAATACAGTACACCTATTAGGTTTTTAATCATTTAGAAAGACCTCTCTTTTGTTAAACAAAAGAAATGCTCGCAAAGGTTCATGGATGCACGCGGGCCTTTAATTCATATCATTGTTTACCGTTAGAATATCGAGGGGATTTACTGAAGCGCTCATCGACGAGTAGAATGGCACCCCAGTCTTGTCTGAAATGATATAAAACAGTTTTGTAAAACAGTTTTAATACAGGACTCGCACGATATACTTTGTTTTCACTCTTGACTTAGTTCTAATGTGGGTTCTCTAACAAAAAACATCGACTTAACAAAATATCTCAGATCGCCAGAATCGCTGTCAGAAAACACGACCATCAAACCACTAAAATACTGATGAGAAAAAGTCACGACAGTGATACACTCCACCACAAATACAAACAACATCGACAACCACACTAAGTCAGTGAGGACTTACTTATGTCTTATGCACCGACCAAGAGCCTAAAAACAGTAAAATAACATCGTTAGAAAAAAATTCATGCAGAGCATTTCGAATTATTTTTATTTTTCTGCGAGGAAAAAAAGGCGCTTTTTGCAAAAAAATGTCCACCAACGGAATTTGGTGCAGTAGAAAATGTACCTGATTGAGAGCTCTGAAGGCTTGGATTTCGTACCATTCGCTGCCATTCAACAGTCCTCGTTTGGATGAAAACGAATCATTGTACTTTCGTTTAAGGTCAATCTAGAGGATATATTCGACATCATTCATAATTATATTTTGGAGAGTGAAAAAGTTACAGTGTCAATGATGAACAAAGTCGGTTTAATGTAATACCTTTAGATCCTTGGTATTTGGAAATGGTATTCCAACCTGAAATATTAATATTTTCAATATTTTCAAATCTCTTTGTCATGTCTCTTTAATTCTGAGGTATTCTTCAGATTTATATTCGACCTTTTTTTAGTTTTAGAGTAGACAAATTCATGTGATGTTTCAATACAAAACCTCTATGACATACTGAAGTTACTTACAGTGATAACAGCCCTTGCATTGTTATCTGCAAAGTCCAGGCCTTCACTGACTTTTCCTCTACAAACAGCAAGAAACAAAGCACCTTCACCTCCATAATATTCTTCATCATCTGAATCTAGAAACAAAGTAATCAAAACACGATTTCCGAGATGAGGAGCTAGTCGCTTTCAAAAATATCGCTGGCGCACACAGGAAAATGTATTGTATTTTCAGACAAAAAATGTATGTATAACTAAGGGTTAAGCGCCTGGAGCGAGGTTGCAGCAACAACAGCGCTAACAACACCAACAGCAGCAACAACAATAAAAGCAATAATAGCATCACACATATCAACAACAACGACCAACATAAGCAACAACAGAAAGAACAGCAACAATAAAATGCAAAGTTAACTTCTACTGAATCTAAAACTAAATGACAATTCCATAAGCTATAACACCTGTGCAATCAAGGTCTTCTTCTCCCTCACTCCTTCTGATTGCTTGATAAAACTCATGCATGACATCGTCAAAGTCTGCAAGCAATAATATCAACCATAGGTTATATAGAGGATATTACATGGGCGCACGAAGATATGGATTTTATCTTCTATACTACCATGTAGTATTCTGTTTATCATATAATTACATATGAAAGCAAATTATGTCGTAAAATACCTTTTTTTCTTACTTCCACTGTATAGAGAAACCTCAAATGTGTTATTTTCACTAGTGAAAATATCAACTTTACGAAATGGAGAAATATAGGTATTTCATAGATAATTATATGACAATAGAATATTCATATTCGTTGTTGGTCAATCATGTGGTAAACATTGACTACTTACCTGATTTACTTCCACTGCGAGGTTCAGAAAGAACCAACTTTTTCTTGAGTAGTTTTGACCACAAACCTGTGGACTGGACAATACAAAATATTGCAATTTTCCTTCCAAACATTTAAGTAGCATAAGACTTGTTACCTGCCATCGCTTACTGACTTTGTCTAACATGTTGTAAGAAGGAAAAAAGCACAAAACACCATGTGGAATTTTCTGTTGAAAAGAAAAAGTACAGCAAAATGAAGTTTTGCCAAGATATTAAAAGCTTGACAAAAATAGAAAAAAGAGGGCACTCGCTTTACATGTGAAATAGTGTTTAAAATAATGACTTAGTGCAATGTCTAATGTGTTTTACAGATATGGCAAATAAAAACTTAAATAATAATGACAAAATGTTTCACCTGACAAACATCCAGCACAATTTTACCAATATCATCTTGAAAGCTAAAAGTCTGATAAAACGATAAAAAATAGTCTGATAGTTTTCTAGCACAACAGTCTTAAAATATAAATTCAATAATAGCTCTTGGTAGGGAGACATGACAGTCTAGTGGTTAAGCCATTGGAGTTTAAGTGACTTCAGGCACACAGATCTGAGTTTGGTTCCTAGACTGAATCTTTGACAAGACACTTCTTTCTATCGGTGTCCTAGGATAGGATATTAAAGCTAAAGGTACAATTCACACAAGGACCAGATGGATGTAGAAGAAAGTATGGATGGAATTCCTGCAGAGATGAAGGAACTCACAGCAGCAGGAGGCATTTTAGGTTCCCTGTGTTATTATTATAGACAGCCTTTCACTTTTTTCCAAACAAGTCATTTTTCTTACAATCCACTACTAATAAAATGTACATTAGTCAAAAATGGGAAAACACAGTATGTCAACTGCAGTATTAACCTCAGCAAAGCGAAATGTTGCATTGATAGGTGAGCTACTTGGTCCAACAGCAAGAGAACCAACCCAGACTTGTGAGTTTGCAATCACATGATTAGCTTCTAGTTTGATACGAAAATCCACACCAAGTTCTGATTCAAACGAGCTCATTGGTGATAATGTCCCTGATGTTAGAATAATGCAGCGAGCTTCTTGACCAATATGAGAAAAGACCTGAATGAAGAAGTATGATAAATGTAATCAAAAATATGCTAATAAAGGGATGAATGAATGAAAATATGAATGAAGAATGTTCATATGAATATAAAAAAGATATAAAATAAGTAGTACAAATTAGATAATGATTAGAAATACATAAGTTGAAGAAATTTCATGTATATGAAAAAAAAATTAAAGCAAGGATTATAAAGTAAAAATTATAAAATAAACAAAAATTCAATTACAGATGGGAATAAATAAATTCAACTAATGAATGAATACTAGCTGGTGGATACTTTCTTAAATATAATGAAATTTTCTAAGAAAGAACTGTTTTAAATTTCTTTACCCAACATACACTGTACATACCACAGCAGGATTGAAACACCAGATGTTCAGAGAGTATTTCCATTCTTTACGAGTTCCTTTAGAGAGAAGACATCATGAGTTATTTATTAAATGTTATTATATAGATGAAACACGTGCTCTGATTTGCCAAAAAAAGTGTGGTTTATGAGAGTATAAATTAACCAYGATTGTGCTCAAAATCTATATAATAAAACAAGTAAATAAGGCTAAGCCTGTGGTTTATTAGCCTCCTTTGCAGACGTTATTAGTATTTAACAAATAGATCTCATTTTTCCGTGCGTGTGTACTCTAATAGATACACAGATGACGTCAAAATGTAGTGAGAACAAAAAAGTACACACGAGACGCAGTCGAGTGCGTGACTGTTGTTCTCGCTACATTTTGACGTCATCTGTGTATCTATTTGAGTACACACACACAGAAAAATGAGATCTATCTGTTTTATACAACAAACAATTAGTTTTGACGTAATCCGTGTATCTATACTTTGATAACACACGAAAGCCAACCAATCAAAACGTCTGATTTTACTGAAAAGTTGTATAAACTTTGATAACACATGAAAGCCAACCAATCAAAACGTCTGATTTTACTGAAAAGTTGTATAAACTCTGATAAACGTACGCTTGGCATTTGAAACACATTCAAATATGTCCAGAGCGAGTGACATTTTCTCATGTGTTTCTAATGCCAAGCGTGCGTTTATCAGAGTATAAACCACAGGCTGAGCCTTATCTATTTGTTGAATAAATTCTAAATCAATATCAATAGATCTATCATAATTGATAAGTATTCATGATAAGTATGCACAATAAAGGAGGAATTGCTTTATCAATGATATAAGATCAAAATTGTAAGATACAGCCTTTTGCAAAAATTATGAGAATTGTCTAAATATCTAAATATCATAATATCCATATCCATATATTGTCCAGAACAYRCRRGTTTGCTAGAATAATTCATTGTTGACATCGAGAAAATGTTCAGAACTACGGATAAGTCCGTCACCGCCGAAAAAAACTAAACTACAAHGACAAAGGACAAACGGGAATCGCGTGGGATTACCCATCATGCAATTGATATATTATGATATTTAGATATTTAGACAATTCTCATAATTTTTGCAAAAGGCTGTAAAATATAGACAAATAAAGAAAAATGAATAAAGTGTTGATTAAAAATGTTCTCACTTATCCCTGCTCTTTTCCATGCAGCAGCCTGAAGATCCAAGAAAAAAAATTCACATTTAAAAAAGTATTAAAAATCATACTGTAAAAACACTGATGAATCTTACCGCCTCATTTCTCACAAACACAGCAGTTTTAAGAATGGTAACCCTTGAACAGAATGAGGTTTTTAAAGTTTAGTTTGATTATATTGCAATTAAATCATTGGATTTGTGAAAAAGGGTTTTAAAAGCCAAAAAACAGCAATTAAAATATGTGATTGTACAAAACCAAAAATAACTGGCCAGTATGTCTACCAAATTAATTCAATATTAATCAAAATTTGATTTAAAATCAGTCATAAAATGATCAATCAATCAATTCATCTGTCAGTCAAGCAATCACTTGTGAACAGTAGGAAAGGTCTCCTTCACGGTTATGTATGTGCACCATCTTAAAAGGTAGTCATGCCTTAACATCGAAGCAAGACAACCGTTGAGCATGCAATGATAGAAACCTGTGAATAATTGTCTGTAGGTGTTAAAGAAGACTTCTATCATTGCACCCCAATGGTCGTCTTGCTTCAATGCAAAGGCATGGCTACCTTTCAAGATGACACATGTAGCCGTGAAGGAGACTATTGTTTTTTTTAATTCTACTGTACCATGGATGATGGCTATCAGTCAATCAGAAATCTCTATTCTATGGTATCTCTAAGCATTGCAACTTCTTGTTACCTGTAGTCTGTCACAAACTTGCCCTCAAATCCAAAAAGATAACCTAGAACTAGGAATAATCCTTCCAACATGGAAACACTTTTGGATGTAGGAGCAGTCTTCATATAGTCACTACAAAGAATCAAAATATCTCACCAATATTATAATAAATGCATAATCATACACGACTTTCAAAAATGGCGCCAGTTGACGTCCGCCTATATTGGGGACTAGTGACGAATCATGGAAACGAGACCTCAAAGGCCTTCCATCAAGAAATCACTACGAAAATCGTATGTAGGCAGTGTCCAAAAGTTTGAAAGATGTATTGGTATGTTATTTATAACAAAACACTCTTGCAAGACACCATGCAAGCTCACTATACGGAGGCTGGCCTTGGAGACCTCGTTTTAGTGCTTTGTCCCCAGTGCCCTGGTCGATGACCATGACACATCACGCCATTTTTGAAAGTTGTGAATAACATTGCAACAATCAACAGCTATTGCATTTAATATGTTTATAAGATTCCAAAAGTGACATTTTTTATGATAGTGATTTATTGACACATACTTATCAGGGTCCCGATCAGCTGCCATTATTTGATTGAAAGCGTTCTGTAATAAAAGTACACATATTAATACATTCAATCACCAGAGCATACTTTAAGGGAGGACAATAACAAGTTATGGGCCTTAAGCAACAAAACAGGAAATGTTTTACTTCAAAAACAATAATACCAGAAACCAAAGTTCATCACACTAGCCCACATTATGATGCTTTGATTTTATGATGATTTCTTTGCTTTTCTTTTCATTTTTGTTCTCTTTGACAAGTTTATGATAAAGCAATTCTTTACTGGAATCTTATGAAAGCAGTATGAAAACATGTTGCTTAATATATGGTTTATAAAGAAAGTACCAGAGTGTACCTTATAAAGAGGAAGGGAGGCACTTGTTAAGCCAGCTTCCTTGAGACCAGTGAAGATGTCCTCTCCTGACAGAACTAGCACTGCCTGCTCAAACCCTGTATCTTTCATCTGGCCTAATTCCGAGCACTTCACTATCCAGTGCTTCACACTTGCACACTGAAAACAAAATCTATTTGTTACTTTGTGATATGATTTACCTGAACTATAAATCCACCAATTACAGTAAAGGTTTGATCAGTTACCATAACATGCAATGATGAATACTCTGTTACCATGACTCCCCACTGAACTGAAAGACAACATCACCACATCTTAGTTAAATCATTGGTCAGTATTCCTTGGTTAATCTGGTTCTGTTTAACGTTTAAGTTAAGTTGCAATGCATGAATTCTGGACAAAGCATAATTAGACCAGTAAAACAAGCCAATACGTTGCATGATACACTGTGATAGAGGTTTATAGAAAGTGCTCACTCATTTTATCCAGGTCATCCAGTGTTTCTTGTAGTTCTAGAGTATCTACAGATAAACTTGCTGACTCCCTTGCAGAATCCTCAATGTTGTGAGCCTCATCTAGCACCACTATTTGATCTTCAAGATCAATTTCCATCTGATGTACGTTGAAAAAGAAAGAATGTAATTTCATGATGATAACTTATATCAGTAATGACTGTAAAAATATGATGAGGATGATAGCCATGATGATGATTAAATTCCTACCTGAGATCGTATCTTAGGATCAATAAGATAGTTATAAGGGCAGAATATAATGTCTGCTTCATCCATTAGTTCTCTTGCGGCATAATAAGGACAAGCCTGTAACCACAACACAAACTTGTCATTTAATGAAAGGGTGAGAAGGGGTTTAGACAGGAAATATGTGGACAAACAAGGACATTTATGAAAAGCATGGATAAACGTCTCAAACTCATGCGAAAGTCCCACGTCTTGAGATGTTTTGTCCAAGTAGCCAGGGGGGTGTATGGGAGGTGTGTTTTATCTTACCCTGTTCTTTCTGCCTAGTTTAACAAAATCTTCAATATCCCATGCTGCTGACAGACCTTGGCTTTTAATGGCTGCTTGTGAACCTATCCCAGAGTTCTTCCTTTCATAATAGATACATGTGTCTCCCTGGAAAATAATGACATATTTCAAAAGGCTTCCTGCAGGTCTGCCAGTAGTTCTCTCTCCATCAAAAACTGCAATATGGCAGCCATGAAGAGTGACATGTGGTATATAATGCATGGTAATAGGATTTAGTCCCTTAAACATGTGTACGATAGTTTTGTACATAATGTATCTTTCAGGATATCTAGACATTGAATATTAAGTTTTCATTTTATTCAGTAAAAACTGCAGGAATTTTACATTTTGAACCAATCAGAAAGCAACCTTCTTGCACAGTTCTTGGATGCACATATTACATTTGTATTGCAAATACCTTGACAAAAGGATCCCTGAGTTTCTTGCATTCTTCATTCTTGTTGGGTCCCTTTGATACTTTTGGATGAATACATGTGTGCTCACGGCTTGACAGAATGCACATTCTAGTGTGTTTATATGCTGTCTTTCCCAGTTCACGAGCAATCTGCGATACTTGTTTGTGAGTTCTTGTTCCAAAATATATCTTGGGAACTTTAATTGGAGCACTAGAAAATAAAATAAAATGGTGTCAATACAAGTAATGTAATACTAACACCATAAAAATCAACTCAATAAACTCAATAAACCCTTTGCATTTGGCATCAAAACAGATTCACCTGGAGGACAAAACAAAAAAGATTTTATCCCTCTTTGAAACTAGAATCAATTGTTTTGTCATCTAGTTGCAGCTGCATTCCCATGAGCTGCAAGGGGTCTATACCTCATTTTCCTTGGAAATCTATTTGGTTTTGATCAAACAATACTTGTCTATTGTTGAGCTGCAGCCAGGTCTAGGACCTCTGCTCACACATATTTATCAAAAAATGATACACTCACTTCATTTTCTCTTTCTTTTTAGCATCATTATCACATGGAGAGTTCTCAGCTTTTTCATTCTTCAATTCCATTTTCCATTCAGGAGGACTGACAGCAGCACTGGAATCACTTATAGAGGTGTTTGACTTATTCTCACTGAAGCTTGAATCAATACCAGTGCTAAATGACTATAAGAAAACAAACAATTTACTTAATAATACTGTACATTTCCACTAAAGTACATGTAGGAAAATAAATTTTAAAAATAATTATTGGACATACATGTAGTGTATTTTATCAGGAAAATGATACATTTTAATGTTAAAAAATGCTTTGAATAGTTATACTGTACTTGCACTTTGATGAACTTAAACTTTTTTTGGTCAGTACCCTTATATTAATGTATTTTTGACCTCCAATAATATGGCTTGTATGATGTGCATGTACCTTAGATCCATGTGGTGTTCGAAATCGTTTGTCAGACTTGAAATCTTCCTCTTCTTCTTCTATAAAGAGATGAAAACACACCTTTGTTACAGTCTCAATATACAATAAAGTTGATTGGTTGAAAACATCCCTTAATTTTAAAGTACTGAATAGAAATCCAATGCATGAACTGTCAACTTACCAGTGAAAGATTTGTTTGGTTCCTCTGTTTTTGGTGGATTTGTTGGTTTTGGTGTAACTGGTGATGAGGTGAGGTCAATTATTGGAGGACTTATGCCTGGTTTTACTGGCAAAGAACTAATGCCTGGTTTTACTGGCAAAGAACTAATGCCTGGTTTTACTGGTGAAGGACATATGCCTGGTTTTACTGGTGAAGGACTAATGGATGGTTTTATTGGGGAAGTAGATGAATCACAGCTTGGACTATCTGCAAGTTAACAAAAACTATTAAAAATGTCCTGGAAGAAGACTATACTTGTATATTCTGGGGAAAACAATAGGTGATATGCATGATGTCATCATTTTACTACCAGCATGCTCTGTGTATTTTCTTTGTTATTCAGATTTGGAGATTACTAAAACAATTGGAACAATTGAAAGTCCGCAAAGCATTCTTGTCTTGGTAATACATGTATGTGCCTCCATCATGCTAATTGCCTTTTTAAGAAACAACTAAGGATAATGTCTGGACAAAATGTCAGTTTAAGCAGTCATCAAACATTTGGGTTTGAAGACATTTTTAAAATATGATTTGAAGGGACATTGTGTCTTTATTTTTTTATTTTATTTATTTATTTATTTATTTTGCCCATATGCTCTGAAGAATCTTTTGAAAAAATAATGAAAGAATTTGCAACTTACCATTGCTGTTCTTTTGTTCTTTTTGTTGCTTTGCTTTCTCTGTATTAAAGATGGAAAAATAATAATCAAAGTCATTTTGTAATTCTAAAATCAATTACCAGTACCTAAATTTTGATAAAAACTTTTTGCAAGAACTCATTCAATATCCACAAAAACAAGAGCTCAATCATGAATAAATCATACCATATTCAGCACACTGCCAAGAAAGACAAGAACAAAGTAGAGCCAGACTTTTGCCACTTCCTGTAGGACTCTCTAATAGACAATGTTGACGACGTTCAAGACCTTTCATGATCTTCAAGAAATCAAAAATAATTTATGAGTATATGGTTGTTAATATCATTACAACTTTTGCTTGTATGCCATTGCCATTGGGGGGGGGGGGGGTGAAAAATAAACACAGACAATGAAGTGGGGGGGCTTTAATGGCATTTGCTGACTTGAAGGAGGAGGTTGAAACACAAAATTAAAGTATGTGTAATATATAATGTCAATATGTTTTTTTTATTTTTATATATTTCTTATCAGTTATCATTTAAAACAACAACTTTACACTTTTATAGAGGTCTAATCACATTAAAGCATTCACTTGCTATTTTGTGACTCCTTTTAAAGTTTTAAGATTGGCTATTTTACATTGGTTTATACAAACGGGGGGCTGCTTTTCAGGTTTTACTCATTTAAACAAACTTAACTTTTAAGTGTTTAAAGCTAGCAACGTGGAACTGACAGTTTCATAGCAAATGACAACTGGAAACGTGTGAAATTCACAAACTTACCCTGTCCATCATCGAGAGTTGAGTTGGATAAGCTTTACAAGGGAAAATCACCTTTTTACCATGTATGGTATACGGAACACCGTCTGYCATGCTTGGGTTTTGATTAACTGGCAGGTTTCACAACGAAAACAACGAGGAGCAAATCAACTTCACACCAAAATAGCATGTGTCTCAAGTTGATGCGATAAAATTACTTTACAAAAGTCTTTAACTCGTCCTTTTTAGCAGTTCTTTAGGCGGATAAGAAGACTTCGTGTCTGTTTTGAAACAAAAGAGGTTAAAACAACAAAAAAGAAATAAAGCAAGGCCTTGTTTTCAGTCTACATTCTTGTGCAGCTCGACATCTGGCGCGAAAATTTCGAACTCGATCTTCTACGCTAGTACTCAGTCTCAGTCTCAGCCAAATGTTGGAAATCATTAACTTATATAGTTTTGTAGTAGTAGTATTTTTATATATCACCGAGAGTCACGAAAGTCATTCCTATTTTATATTTATTTCCTTAATATTTCTTTTATTTTGTTATTCTATCAAAGTCCTAAGCTAAAACACGATCCAAGGCATCGGGATCCCTGTGTACAAAATAAAATGGCGACCRACGAGAAGAAGAGACGCATCATTATGGTTGGGTTAATTTGCTTGGATATTGTTAATGTTTGTGATCATTTCCCCCAGGAAGATCAAGATATACGTGCTCTAGAACAGCTATGGCAGCGTGGTGGTAATGCAGCAAATCAGTCAGAGATATTGGCACAGTTAGGAATGGAAGTGGAATTTTTAGGTTCTTTGAGCGATGGAAGGGGATGCGACTTTGCAGTAAAGACACTCACAAGACGTGGAGTAATAACAAATAATTGTATAATCCACAAAGGTATTGGATTTCCTACATCCTGTGTGACTCTCAGCCTTCAAACAGGCAGTAGAACAATCATTCATTATCGTCCAAGTCAATTTCCTGAGGTTTCCAGCGAAGAGTTCAAAAAACTTGACTTCAGTTGCTATCACTGGGTTCATATTGAAGTGAAACGAAATTTCCAAGAAACGCTTAAAATGATATCTGCTATCGAATCGTATAACAAAACAAGGAATTCCTCAGATAAAATTACAGTATCTATCGAATTAGAGAAAAAACACCACGATTGTATAAAATTGTTATCTCAAGCTGACCTGGTGATTATAAGCAAAGATTTAGCTGAATTCTTGGGCTATACTTCAGCAAGCTCTGCTGTGCAAGGATTATATAACAAAATGAAACAAGGTGCTATGTTAGTATGCCCGTGGGGGTCATTGGGTGCCGATGGCATGGATAACAGGGGGGTTCTATACCATAGCGATGCATTCCCCCCTGACTTTGTCAAAGATACTCTGGGTGCGGGAGACACATTTATTGCTGGTCTAATCAAAAGTCTTTATGATGGAAATGGTTTGCAAGATGCTTTGATATCAGGCTGTAGGCTTGCTGGCTTTAAGTGTGGAGTCAAGGGATACAATCAACTTGGTGATTTCTGGAACAAAATAGTTGATGGCAAATAACTTGCTATGGGATTCCTTTATTGAATACATGAGGAGGGCAGGGAATAGTTGCCATTCTAGTGCAAGAGATGCAATGATGTGCTGTAATCATTTCCAGGAAGAGAAACAAGTTACATAAAATTATGACCAAACCAATTAAAAAAAATATAATGTAATAAAGTGTATCTGATAGTCCTTGTTTAATACAAAATGTTGACTGAGACATTTCTGTTGTAAAAACTGTCTACCTTATAAGGTCTAGTGAAGAAATGACAAGACCATTATTGATTAGAACATTTTTTTACTTTTCATAGGTAACACAAAATCACTCAGAGTCAGTAGTCTCTTTAACAAGGCTCACAAATGGCAAAGAGAAAAGACCAAACAGTCAATCCCCAATCCTCATTGTAAATATTACTTGTCATCTAGAAAATTCACCAACATAGTGGCCTCCTCCTATCAATTTTCCTTGCCAACTATGGTGTCTGAATTGAAATAATGCACACATATAAAAAAAAAACACTAAAGAAGTTTTAAGTATAGTTTACAACATGAGCGGCCGTGTTGTATGGGAATTAMAATCTCGAGCCGCAGGCGAGAGATTGTAATTCCCATACAACACGGACGCGAATGTTGTAAACGACTTATAAAACTCCAACACAAATTAACATGAATTACAGTGAGATAAATGACGAAAAATGACAAATAAGGTAACTGCTGAGTTTAGTCTCTATTAAGCATGCGCAATTTACTGCAACACAGAACATTTTGAATAATTATCCATCCCACATGGAAAGCAAGCCATCTGTTGCATAAGCCAGTTCTGTTATCCGTCTTTGATTGCTTCAAAACCTAGTGAAGGTCTATGATGCGACACTAAAACTGAGACCTTTGCTAGTGTTGGGTTGTCTCAAGGTGACGACCGTGTTGTAAATCTTATACAACACTAGTGTTGTATCACAGTGTTGTATCTGATTTACAAGGTCAATCACCTGATGAAATGGACAACCCTTATTGGAGTAATAGCTCATGCATTATTAATAAGTTTTATAAAGATTATTATCTTATTACTATTTGGATCAATTGCACAAACATACAACATGTTAACGCTTGACAAAATAATCAAGTGAAATTCATTGAAAAATTAACTTGCTGTCAAAGTTGTATGCCCGCTGTATCTAATGTGACTCGGCTTTTAATAAAAAAGGGAAAAAAACTTAGCATGTTTACAACTATATAAGAAATGACATTTGAACCACRTACACAACATAGGATAAAGATCGGACACATCGCCATGAACAGACAAGACAAGAAACTTGTAAATCAAATTAATTCACCAGCGGCAGGGAACAAATGGGATTAAACATCAAATTTTTTCAAATAGAAAAAAATAATACAGAATCAGATGTTACAAAACCGAAAAGCACTGAAAAGAAAAAAAGGTAAAAAAAAAGAAGAAGAAGAAGAAAAAAAATGATATGCAAGAAGGTGGCCGTGAKGGCACCCATCCACATGTTAGGCAGATGATCGGGGGAGGAAATAGACGGACCCCAAGCKCTGATGTCTACCCCTGTGCACTACTGTAACACGGTTATGACGTAGCGCGCAAAGTTTAGGATTTATATGTTTGGAGGGACAGGAAGCTCGGTATAATGTTCTGTGTAAAATCAAATTAATAGCTCGAAAATAATTATTAAACAAAATCTACTGGAAATCAAGATGACTATAACAACTATATTATATTTAAAAAGAAAGAAAGAAAGAAAAAAACAGTACTCGAGACAAGATTCTCTGCTATAAGAGTACAGATGCGAGAAGAAAAACTTAAATTTATTTGCGGGAAAAAGATTTCGAAACGCTCGCATGTCCCCTGTAAGCCACCGTAATATTCAAAAAATCATAAATTATATTTTATCTCATGTAATGATTGATAATGCTATACATTATGCTTAGAAAAAGAAGAAGAAAAAGAAAGAAAAAAGGAAAGAAGTGAAACACGAGTCCATGTTGGGACTCGAACCCATGACAAAAGAATTCGAAAAAGATTGGGACGATTCCCCCGAGACATTCTGTGAAGCTGAGGCGTCGAATCGATTTACATTCCGGTTAGAGATTTCGGCTCTTCCATGCTATCCCGATAATTGGTCCTAACTTCGCGCTAACTAAAAAGCCAGTGAGGGAGAAGCTATCCGGCCCCTAGACACTGATGGATAACCCCTTGCACTAACTAGGCAACTATCGAAAGTATAATGTCAAATTGGGGTAGTCTATTCGGTGAAAGTGTCAAGTGGTCTATTATTATGTAAATGAGAGTGATCCAGTGGCGCACCGCGTTAAGGCGCCGCTTGCAAATCCAATGTAGGTTTGACGGTAGCGGGATCGATTCCCTGGAGGAGACGTTTAATGATTTTGTTTTTTCCTTTTTATTTAATTTATTGTTTATCTTTTTTTTATTTATTTATTTTTGCATAATTATTGTCATCTCTTGTGTTTCACTTTCCCGAGAACCGTCTTTTTTACGAAGTGGATATATGATCGGCTCCCGTTCAAAGTCTTCGATGTACTAACATACTAAATGAGTGCTAGTTTTGTTTTGGCAAAAAAATCTTTTATATCTTTATTAGCAATCTAAAAAAAAGATGTCGATTCA